GCTTTTTCACCTATGCAAAGTGGTTTACATTAAAAGAAGTTGCTGCTTTGAAAATGATTAATAAATAATTGAAAAAATAATTATTATATCAAAAGCACAAAGTTAGCACAGTTGAATACACATTCGAAACCTGGTTTTGAAAAAGATAAAAGCACAGTGCGCCCCATTAGAAGCCTCATCGGCCACATGAATGAAGAGCCAACGGCCCACCGACATAAAAAGGTCTTTGTCTGCTGGAAGAAAGAGAGCCGAGAGTGGCCAACCAAACGTCCCGCCAACTATGAATTGCTGATGCAAGTCACGTTATATAGCTTTTCTTGGTGAAAAGGGTGAAATAACGGTCTTGGCAAAGAAACTGGCTTCCCTCACTCTAAACGGACTTCATGATATTGACACCTCATCAGACGGCATCCTTCTGAAGGAGTCCAGGTAGAGATGCTTCCTGTCTTGACTCTGCAATGAGTTGTGAGATTTTCTAAATTGCATCACCAGACAACAACGGTATCACTACCAACCATCCAAAACTGCTGAAATGCTGTTATAATCTAGGCAGGCCTGTTCTGGTACGGTTGTATGAGGAGCTCCAACTTCTTTTTCTTTCTTTGTGTGTTTGCATGTATTCCAAGGTTCCATGCATTTTGCAATAAGGTGGCTTCCCTTGGTTTGCAATTATAGGGCCGAGGACCTATCAATCATCATTAGATTCTTTAGTTCTGCCCCTTTTTCTGGGTTTAGGAGGGGAAAAGGGGACCTCTAGTTCAGTTCACACAGAGAAGCCTTTCGTACAGGATGTGAATCAGTTCTACCTGTAGAAAGCTTTGTCTTTTACAGTTTTTGCTGGGAGAATTCAGTCCCACAGCTCTACAGAGAAGCATAGCCTTTGCTGGAGGGAATCCAGTCCCGCAGCTTTACAGCCAGCCTATACTGGGAATTGAAGACCTTCTTTCCTCTTGCAAATCTACAAAAGGACTCTGTTTGGTAAGGACCACTCGCGGCAGCCACAACACCATTTGGACTGGGTGTAGGGGCCCACGCCAGCAGAGCCTAAGGCAGATTGCCCAGGTAGAGGTCAAGGATTTCCCTGATAGAGAAGAAACAGTTCATGAAGATAGTTGCCTGTCCCTTGTGGACAAGATTAAGAAAGCCACCAGTTGATTCAAAGCCTTGAAGTATTTGTTTGATTTATTGAAGACCTAAGCACTAATAAAGAACTTTGTTAAACTTTCCAAGTTTCTAAAGACTTTGTTTAGGGAAATCCAAAGGGCCTCTAATCCGAGGCACCCCCGGCATCCTGTTGGGCATACAGAACACGTCCTATCTCCTCCTCGCAGGATTGCAAGACATCCGGGCGTCTCCTGGGCAACGTCTTCGTAGACGGCTGATTCTCTCGCCAGAGAAGCGACCAACATGCAAGCAAGCAAGCAAAACAACTAATGGACTTTTTCAGGACCAACCATGACAATAATCTCAATCAACATCGAAGGCATGTCAGCTGCCAAAGAGCAACTGCTCTATGAACTGTGCCGAGATAAGAAATGCGATGTGCTGTGTGTCCAAGAAACACACAGGGATGAACAACAGAAACGAGAGACTCCCTCCTGGGCACACAGAAGACTGGGCGACTTGGAAGGCATTGAACAGACTGCGCTCTGGCACCACGAGATGCAGAGCCAACCTCAAGAAATGGGGCCACAAAGTAGAATCCTCGACATGCGAGTGTGGAGAGGAGCAAACCACTGACCACCTGCTGCAATGCAACCTGAGCCCTGCCACATGCACAATGGAGGACCTCCTTGCGGCAACACCAGAGGCACTCCAAGTGGCCAGATACTGGTCAAAGGATATTTAACCAGCTACCAAACTCACAAGTTGTGTATTTTTCTGTTTGTTTGCTTTGTTCTGTTAGAAATGTAGTATAATGGACTGGCTGCTCTGACACGACAAATAATAAATAAATTCACAGGTCCAGTGCATGACAGCACAAGGCCCCTAAGAACATACCAAGTTGGGAAAAAAGTTGATGCTCACCAGAGGTCCTTCCAGACAGGCCCTATATTCCGGGATCTGATCCCAGTTTTTCTATTTATCCCAGATTATCTGGCAGTGCGGACTCATATAATTCAGTTTGAAGCAAAAAAAATGCCTGGGATCGGATCCTGAGATATAGGGCCTGTCTGGAAGGGCCCCAAGACTTTGGTTTTTCTAGTTCAGTGATGTCAACCAGGACTTGAAGGACATTTTGAGATAGGGATCTGTGCAAGCTTTGCATGTTGATGCACTGCTTTACTCCTCATGCAAAGCATTGGCAGTTAACAGCTTCCATGTCAGTAGACTTGAATCTACTCTGAGGGTGCATCCACACTGTAGAGTTAATGCAATTTGACCCAACTTTAACAGTCATGACTCAATGCTATGGAATCCTGGTGGTTGTAGTTTGGTGAGGGCACTGGTGAGGGCACTTTTTGGAAGGAATAGCTAAAGACGTAAACATCCCATAGCACTGACCCATGGCAGTTAAAGTGGTGTCAAATTGCTTGAATCCTACAGTGTAGATGAACTCTGAGTTTCAGTCTGAACATGAAAGGATCTTCCCAAGGGATAGTGTTCAGTTCTATTAAAGGCTGGACTAAAACCCAAAGCTGATTCTACTGTCTCACTGACATGGAAGCTACCACCTGCCTGCTGAATTGGGAAAAGTTCATTTTCGGATTCTCCATGGGGGATTCTGGGAGTTGTAATCCAAAGCAAAAGAAAGTTACCAAAAAAGTATGAAACAACTTTTAGGCCCTTCCATACTACACAAATTGAGTGCTGTGGTGGCACTTTAACTGCCTTAACTCCAACCTATGGAATCTTGGGATCTAGAGTTCATTGTTGTGTGCCTTCAAGTTGCTTCTGACATATGGTAACCCTAAGGTGACCCTATCATGGAATTGTTTGGGGTTGAGAGTGTGTGACTCACCCAACATCACCCATAGCCATGGGACAAATCAAACTCTGGTCTCTAGAGAAATAGTGCAATGCTCAAACAATTACACCACACTGAAGCATTTTTATCATGTCAGAAGTGACTTGAGACTAAAGTGGAAGTCGCTTCTTGTGTGAGAGAATTGGCCATCTGCAAGGATGTTGCCCGGGGGATGCCGGATGTGTTACCATCCTGTGGGAGGCTTCTCTCATGTCCCTGCATGGGAAGCTGGGACTCACAGATGGGAACTCAACCCATCTCACAGATTCGAACCACCCACATTCAGGTCGTCAAATCAGCAGTTCAGTTAGCAAAAGGGTTTAACCCATTGTTTATTTATTTATTTATTTATTTATTTACTTCTTTTGTATACCGCAAATATCAGCCTAAAAAGGCGACTCGGCCTTTCCACCACAGCTCCACACTGAAGCTTAAAAAGGAGCATTTAGAATTATCATCCATGTGATATAAGAACCATGTGATATAAGGAGTAGGACACACAGAATAATAGAATAATAGAGTTGGAAGAGAATGCATGGGCCTTCTACTACAAGTCCCTGCCATGCAGGAAAAGCACAATTTGTTGTGTTTGTGTTTCAGGATCCTGATGAGGGAAATGATGAGGGAAATGATGAGAGAAATGATGAGAGAAATGATGGTGCTGAGGCTGAGATACAAGATGGAAATGGTTTGGTCAACGATTTTCAGACAGACAATGACAGAGAGGTCCCAGTGCAAAGGGCAGTTTCTCATGAGACTATTCCTGCTGGGCCTAGCAATGATGGTTCACTCCCTCTCTCTGTGAACTCTCAAGATTTGGGTTTAGAAAACAATCTGACACCTGGGAATTTTAATGAGCAGCCAGATAGGGAGCTGAAGGATAGGCGGCTGGAGATTAGCCAGGATCGACAGGAAACTCAGTGTTTACATCGCTCTGAAAGACTTCGTCTGATAAGGAGTAAATGGGGGGGACAGCGAAACCAATTTCTGAGTTTTGGGATATAAGGTTTGCCTCAAGGGGAAACCTGTTAGATCAGGCATCGTTTGGAAATCAAGTTCATGTGCCATGGAAATCCTGTTCAAGGGGTCTCATTCCTGTGGAGTTTTTTTAGCCTTTTAGGTTGTCTTTGCATCCTGTTGATTCCTGTCTGGTTAAATACTGTCTTGGATTGCTTTTATTTCTGGTGTGGACATTGCTTTGTGTTACTATTTTTTATGGACTTATTACTTTTTGGAACTTTCTTATTTTCTTACATGCATTTATTTCTTCTAGCTATTTACTAAGCTTCAGCAAAAGATTTGTTTCTTCACTCTTCATGTAGCACGTTTTAAAGTCAGAGGGCTTTTTCCTGACCTGGAGTGGAACACAATTAAAGTATCCCTGACAGATGGCCATCCAGCCTCTGTTTAAAAACATCCAAGAAAGGAGCTTCCACCACACTCTAAGGCAGACAGTTCCACTGCTGAACTGCTCTTACAGTCAGGAAGTTCTTCTTTCCTGGGTTGTTGTAGGATTTTTCGGGCTATATGGCCATGTTCTAGAGGCATTTCTCCTGACGTTTCGCCTGCATCTATGGCAAGCATCCTCAGAGGTAGTGAGGATTCTTCTTTCCTGTCATTTGAACCCATTGCTCCATTCAGTCCTAGTTTCCAGGGCAGCAGAAAACAAACCCACTCCCTTATTATGTCCTTCCAAATATTTATACATAGCTATCATGTCCCCTTCTTTCAACCTTTATTTCTGCAGGCTAAACAGACCCAGCAATTCAACACGCTCCTCATAGGAATTCATGGTTTCCAGACCTTTGATCATTTTAGTCACCCTCCTCTGGACACCTTCCAGTCTGTCAATATCTCTCTGAAATTATGGTTCCCAGAATTGGACACAGTATTCCAGGGGTCTGGCCAAAGCACAATAGAGGGGCACCATTAGGGGCCATTGCCATGACAGTTAAAATAGGATCATAACGCCATAAATCTGCAGTGTGAGACGCAGCTGCCCTTTCCAGCATCATGCCATCTGTGTTTGTACCTGGTGCCTGTGTCACCGCCATTCCTCAGAGCTCCGCCATCCGTAAAATTGGGGCTGCTGGTCCAATTGATCACTTCCTCTCCATTCTGCCAGCTAAACTGCAGCCTACTAGTGAGAAAACGAGGCAGTTGATATTTCACATCTTTCATCGGCTCAGTTTCGTTTCAGCATCAGTCACAGACAGTCATTGTCAGGGTATATTTTCCAACAAAAGCAGAGAGAATGAATAGAACCAACTTATTCTTAAAAGCTTGGCTAGCCACCCCCCACTCGCAGCTTTCTTCATTCTGAGGACTAGATTTAAATACACACACAAAAACTCAAATATGGAACACTTCTAGTCCTGAGGATTTGGGCCCCCACCCTAGCAGCCTTCAAGAGGGACCTAAAAACTTGGCTCTTCCGATGTGCCTTTGGAGAGTGGCCATATACTTACTCCCTGTTGGTTCTCCCATAATTGTTGTCCTCATATTGCACCTCCCTTCACCTTTCCTTAGGCCTGTCTCCACTATTTCGTCCCCTACGTGCTCCTCCCTTACAAATATACCTTTTTCATTCTTATCTCATCCAGAGTTTTAGCATTTTATATCGTACATTTGGCCTGCCTACTGTGTTTGATTTTTTTTCACTTTGTCATTTTGCACTGTTTTATTTTGCTTTTATGCTTTACTTATTTTTATTGTGTTGTTATTTTTGTAGTTCTGTAATATTTTGCTGTAATGTATTACCGGGCTTGGCCTCATGTAAGCCACCCAGAGTCCCCTTTGGGGAGATGATGGCACGGTATAAATAAAGATGATGATGATGATTATTATTATTATTATTTGAAACTTTACTTTACTTACTTAGGTGATCCCTCATAGTCCAAGGATGATGGTCCTCCAAGGACGTTGTTCTGTCGGTGGGTCCGTAGGTGACTGTGGAGCCCTATTCTTGCTCTGCATCTTCTCCTGCAGTGAGGGCATTAGTTTCCAGGTGGAAGGCAGTCCCATTCAGGGTTGGCTTGACACGCCTTCTCTTGACACATTTCTTTTGCCCTCCATTCATGCCTCTTCAAATTCTACAGCACTGCTGGTCACAGCTGACCTCCAGCTGGAGCGCTCAAGGGCCAGGGCTTCCCAGTTCTCAGTGTCTATGCCAGAGTTTTTAAGGTTGGCTTTGAACCCATCTTTAAATCTCTTTTCCTGCCCACCAACATTCTGTTTTCCGTTCTTGAGTTTGGAGTAGAGCAACTGCTTTGGGAGATGGTGGTGGGCATTGGACAACGTGGCCAGTCCAGCGGAGTTGATGGCGGAGGACACATCGCTTCAATGCTGGTGGTCTTTGCTTCTTCCAGCATGATGACATTTGTCCACCTGTCTTCCCAAGAGATTTGCAGGATTTTCTTGAGGCAGCACTGATGGAATCGTTCCAGAAGTTGCATGTGACATCTGTAGACTGCCCACGTCTTGCAGCCATATAGCAAGGCTGGGAGTACAATAGCTTTATAAACAAGCACCTTGGTATCCCTACGAATGTCTCGGTCCTCAAACACTCTCTGCTTCATTCGGAAAAAGGCTGCACTCACAGAGCTCAGGCGGTGTTGAATTTCCATGTCATTGTTGACTTTTGTGGAGAGGTGGCTGCCAAGATAGTGGAAATGGTCAACATTTTCTAATGTTACACCATTAAGCTGTATTTCTGGCATTGGAGAGGGATTGCCTGGTGACTGCTGGAAGAGCATTTTGGTTTTCTCAATGATTAATGACAGGCCGAGCTGCTCGTATGCTTCTGCGAAGGTGTTTAGAGTGGCTTGTAGGTCTTCTTCTGAATGCACACAGACGACGTTGTCATCAACATACAATAGATGTTGTTGTAAACTTGGTTTTGGCTTTCAGTCTGCCGAGGTTAAATAGCTTGCCATCTGTCCGATAGATGATTTCCACTCCGGTGGGAAGCTTCCCATCAACAAGGTGAAATATCATACCAATGAAGATGGAAAATAAAGTTGGGGCAATAACACATCCCTGTTAAATGGGTTACTTTGGGAGCCATTGCTGTCCAAGACTCTTGCCTGTTGTTATTTGAAACACAACAAGATGAGTCCACAGCAGACACTCTGCTGGCTGTTGTATTGGATCACATGTTGGACACTTCCCAAGTGTCTAGGACTGTGTGATGTATCAGCGAATAATGCGTGCAGATCCCAGTAAGGTGGCCTTTTGCAGATGGTAATTTTATCAGCGCTGATTGTGTTTAAGTGCAGGCCAAGGTCCTTATTGTTATTATTATTATTATTATTATTATTATTATTATTATTATTATTTGGAATGCGCAAGCATATGAGAATGCGTCTACACCAGGCATGGGCAAACTTCATCCCTCCAGGTGTTTTGGATTTCAACTCCCACAATTCCTAACAGCCGGTAGGCTGTTAGGAATTGTGGGAGTTGAAGTCCAAAACACCTGGAGGGACAAAGTTTGCCCATACCCGGTGTACACTGTAGAATTAATGAAGTTTGACATCACAGGAGTTCTGCTGCAACATCTCCATCATGGAAACTGTCATTTTCCAAGGTTCTTTGCCCAAGAGTGCTGGTGCCTCACCAAACTACATATCCAATCATTCCACAGCATTGAGCCATGGCAATTCATTGTTGTCAGACTGCATTACTTCCACTGTGTAGAATTTCCTGACCGATTATCTGGAGAACATTTCGAAGGAGAAGCAACTTGGAAATGGACTCCTCAAGCCCAAGGCAGCGTTTCGGCCAACATTACATCCAGTCCCTGCCTTGGGGCTGGGACTCTATTATATAATAAGTCGTCGGATTCCTTGTCACCACATCTTAGCTTGAACTCTCTCATAACTTTTGTAGTGCTTAATTGGATCCCCGCACTCAGGGCTATCTGAAGGTCAAGCATGTTAAGCCTTTTTAAACATTTTTTTTCCTTCCCCAAAGTTTTCGCTCTGATCTTCGCTCTGATCTTGCTTTGGTCTGGATCCAAGATGCGAGGTTTTGTGTGGGTCGGACATCTGTTAAATGTGATTCTCTGAACACAGCACACAAAGATCCCAAAGAGGAGGCCGGGTCAAGAGGGATTACAGAACGAGAAAATGACACTCCGTTCTTTCATGTACTCCCATTCTTTTCTGGTTCCTCATTTGGAAATAATTTCAGCCGCAACCAGATCAAGGACATTAGCAATCATTAACATCAATGGGGACATCTGAGGTTTTGCCATTGCTCTAGAATTTCTCTTTTGCAGACTTTTTTCCAGTGAAAGCTTTTTGGATTACGAGTCCCAATATCTCCCAAATAGGATAGCTACTCTTCTTCAGGCTAGAGGATTTGGGAAATGTGATTTCTAAAAAAATGACAGTCCCATGCTCTGTCTATCTCTTATCTGAAATGGTTTCTGTAGACCTTTGCTGGAAATATTTGGGCTTTGAGCCATAATGCTGTGATATTTTCATTCTTGCAGCTCTGGGTCCACATCATTTATCCTGCCAACAGTTATAGCACTGTACTTAATTCCCAGTCCCCTGATATTTTGAGTTTACACTAGCCTCGGCCCAGCCTTTTAATTCCTCTGAACAGGCAGGATTATTTTTAATATATATATATTATTGTGATAATTTTATGCTTATGTTGTTTTGTTGATTTTATGTTATGCTGTTTACTCTGTATGTTTTGGTGATGCTGCTTGGATACCGCCCTGAGTCCCCCTCAGGGTATGGTATATAAATAAAGAGTGGTATATAAATAAAGTTTTATTATTATATAGTCTCATCATAAATATAACCTCAATAATATTGTCCAGCATCATATGCATTTGAATCCAATATTTCTGGGTGCCAAGCAGGGATTTGAACCCTGGTTTACAGTTTCAATCCCACACCCAAACTACTGCACCACAATGGTTTATTTATTTATCGTGTCAGGGGCAACCAGACCATTGTATTACATTTCTAACAGAACAAAACAAACAAACAGATAAAAAAACACAACGTTTGCAAACTTGATCGTTGATTAAATGTCCTTTGACCAGTATCTGGCCACCTGGAGTGCCTCTGGTGTTGCCGCAAGAAGGTGGTGTTGCCTCTGGTGTTGCCTCCATGGTGCATGTGGCAGGGCTCAGGTTGCATTGTAGTAGGTGGTCAGTGGTTTGCTCTTCTCCACACTCACATGTCGTGGATTCCACTTTGTAACCCCATTTCTTAAGATTGGCTCTGCATCTCGTGGTGCCAGAGTGCAGTCTGTTCAGCGCCTTCCAATTCGCCCAGTCTTCTGTGTGCCCAGGGAGGAGTCTCTCATTTGGTATCAAGCCCTACGAGGAGCAGCTTAAGGAGCTGGGCATGTTTAGCCTGAAGAAGAGAAGGCTGAGAGGAGATATGATAGCCATGTATAAATATGTGAGAGGAAGCCACAGGGAGGAGGGAGCAAGCTTGTTTTCTGCTTCCCTGGAGACTAGGATGCTTCAAACTACAAGAGAGGAGATTCCATCTGAACATGAGGAAGAACTTCCTGACTGTGAGAGCCGTTCAGCAGTGGAACTCTCTGCCCCGGAGTGTGGTGGAGGCTCCTTCTTTGAAGCTTTTAAACAGAGGCTGGATGGCCATCTGTCAGGGGTGATTTGAATGCAAATTCCTGCTTCTTGGCAGGGGGTTGGACTGGATGGCCCATGAGGTCTCTTCCAACTCTTTGATTCTATGATTCTATGATTCTATCAGCCATTGGTTGAGGTTCTGGGTTTGAGCCTGCCACTTTTGGACTCTCGCTTGCTGAGGTGTTCCAGCGAGTGTCTCTGTAGATCTTAGAAAACTATTTCTTGATTTAAGTCATTGACGTGCTGGCTGATACCCAAACAAGGGATGAGCTGGAGATGTCTCTGCCTTGGTCCTTTCACTATTGGCTGCTACTTCCCTGCGGATGTCAGGTGGTGCAATACCAGCTAAGCAGTGTAATTTCTCCAGTGGTGTAGGGTGCAGACACCCCGTAATAATGCGGCATGTCTCATTAAGAGCCACATCCACTGTTTTAGTGTGGTGAGATGTGTTTAATATGAGAAAGAGGTGATTTTACCTCTTTCTCATATTAAACAAGATGATGGGCTACAGCTATACC